ACACCCGCTGTGTGAATATAAATGTTTATATGCGTAATGCTTAGGGGAAGCCTGTGGCTCCCATCCCCTCTTCGCGCACACACACACGCACGCTAAGTGCATGCAACTGTCTATATACTAGAGTACACTATGTCCATGCAGTAATAACAGCATTTTAAAAGGGGTAGTTCTGCAAAAAGTTTGGGCTTCTTTTCTGACTTACGTCTCTGAACAGGTGTGGGCCTTCTTTCAAACTCCAGGTGGCAGCCTTGCTTAGTTTCATATTTTCAAGTAGGTGGCAATATTAAGTATTACTCTTAAGTAAGAGTATTCTTATTCCAAAAATAATAGCCAGCACATTTCATGGAGTTTTATTGTGCTAACCAGGCTGGTAGGTAGAAAGGCAGGGTATAAATGCATCAGTAAATACATAGATACAACCTGATATTGCTTCAGTGTCCATGCAAAGTTATTATTGGTGCTGAAGGTAAAAGGAAATGAAAGGTAAAAGGAAATGAAAGCAAAGGTAAAAGGAAATTAGCACCTGAGCTAATATCTGCTCCCATTGGCATTGGTCCTTTGTGTGCACCAATCGGCTTAAAAAGGAAGGAGCAACAGTAGCATCTCTGCTAGGATATGATGCATTTTAGCCTGTTGACTTTCAGGTAACTATTGATTAGCTCTTCTTTACAGCTTCAGCTTCTGCAGCACTTCTGTGGACAAAGCAAAAAAGCCTTGCTTAGAAGCTCGAGATGGCTGTGACATCTTGGCCTTGTTGCCAACATGCAAGATTCATCCTGTTGGTTCTGCTTCACTGCTCTCTTGGGTTTTCAGTCTGGACTTCTGTTATGTAAGGTCTGTAAAAATTAAAGCCAGCCTTGTGAATTGTGTCTGGAAATGGTCGGCAAGCTAGTGCAGTGGACAATGAGCTAGCATGCTATGTTCACAGTCTAGCAATCCTAAGATTACAGATCACTTTCAATACCCCCTTGCCTGCCGAAACCAGGTACAGTGCACAGTAGCAAACCAAACGGGATTTTCTTTCCATAGTATGGAAGATGGCAGGTCTCTCTGCCAAATGGGGGTCACAGTAGGTATATTAGCCATAAAGCTGATCAAAAGTCCATGAGCATTGCAGAATTGCACATCTGATCTTCACTGGCCCTTGTGGAACACGTCAGAGGCCATACAAGCAGTGGTGCCTGGGCCCAGGAAACACACACATACTCCTCCCCACCCCGATTCTCTCTCTCTTGCACACGTGCGTCTTCTCCCCTGCCCCCCACCCCCAGCAATCATGTACAAGACTGCAGCAGAGGAGATGCCCGCCCTGCCCCTGTCTTTGCTGCTTCACTGATGCTCTTAGCAGTGATGAAACAGAGATGGACTGCTGCGTGGATGCGGATGTGCATCTGATGACTATGAACTCTTCAGATAAACATTTGGATGTGCAGCCCATTTCAGTCCAGCTGAGCAGGATGAGTGGTGTCCCTCTTCCAGCTTATAAGATCCTATGGGAAAGTTGGGCCTGCATTTGTGGCCATTTCACTGTAGCTGCCTGTCACCCTGCTTTGCCTCCAGGCTGGAAATACGAGCAGCAAGCTACTGGCTTCCCTTCAACCTAACTGCCAGCTCCTGCACTAAGGAAGGAACCTCTTTCAGCATGTCACACTTGAGCTATGAAGTCCCTTCTGGGTGGTCTTACATGTTATCTCCAAAAGCAGGAAGGATTAGCTAAAGCACGTCCTTTCACAGAATAAGTTCCAGTTGCCCCTGAGTGAAAATCTACCCAAATGTAGATCTCAGTAAACCTCATTGCTTTGTGGGCACTGTCAGCACAGTGATGCTCAGGGACAGAGCGGGGAAGACCTATTAGTGGCAAGGAGTGCAGAGAATCAAGCAGACAGTGGTGCCAAGGGAACGGGGAATGAACTGGTTAACTTGAATATAGGAATGGAGGAGCATGAGCAGTAGCAGTAAGTCTGCCATGTTGTTCTTGCGGTTGTTCTAAGTAAATAACTGGAGATAAAGGTGCTTCAAACAATGCCCACAGGCACATGTTTTGGGGAGGGAACCCAACATCCAGCTGCTGTCCCATTCCCTGCTGATGTTTAATGGAAGCATGAATGAGTGGGCTGACGGTACAATAGGACAATCAAAATCCTTATTTTATTGCTTATTTTACACACAATATATGTAGGGACTTACAATGCCACTGGTTATGCCACTGCTCATCTATGTGCACATCTCTTAATATTATTACTAGCAATCATATATGTTACATTAAAAAATGTACTTTACATACAGGAAAAGAAAGATAGGTCCTTTCCACAGGCTCATAACATAAAGCTCTTCTGATCAGGTCATGGATCTTTATGACCCTAAGAAGAATGAAAAGGAAGTTCCATCCCAATGCATTTACTCCCAGGTAAATGAGATAATGCCTCCTTTTAGCTGTATTGACTGCATGCTGCTTCAACCAGGAATTTATTTTTATTCCCAGCTTAGCCTTTTTATTTCAGAGCACATGCTGGCTTTATATTTTTCTTTAATAGCTGCTTTCTTTCTTCTTGGATTCAAGCTGTGTATTAGTAGTCATGAGCTCTGTATATGAGGCCCATAAATAATTTGCTGGTAAACAAAAGTTGTCACTGCAATTTGAACGGAGTTGTTGGAATTCAGTTGGAGTTGCAACCATTTCGTCTACTTTGCAATAGCTAAGGACTTGGTTGAGAAGTGGGATGAACAAAAGGTATTGGAGGCATATGGTTCTGGTTATACCCAGAAGTGCAAATTAGCTCTCTTCTGAAAACCTGAGCTTTGCCTGAGCACCCAAATTATTCGCACTCCTTTAAAATATGTCTATGTGTCTGCATGTGTATATACACAAACACTTATGTCATTGGCTTCTAGGTGAACAAAAGTAGGCCTAACAGAGAAGTTCCTTAAAAGCCAGTTGATTACTCTGATCATAGCCTCCCTAATAAAAGATAGAGACCTCATTCATGCATATGTCTTTTCAAACAATCTGTGCCATCGTTTTACCATGCAAGGTAATTTTGCTACTGCATGTAGGTTGATTGGGATTAGCATTGCAGCTGCCAAGCAGTATATACATTTGATGCTATTGTAATCCCAGAGATGTAATCAACCCTTTTTAAATTGTTCATGAGGACCTTGTGACATAACTGCAAAAATAGGTCGCATGAGGCTACTAGCTTTAACTAGGTGACAACTGGGCATAATAATTGACAAATGATGCAGCACAAGTAAGTTGGAGGAACAAGGTTTGTGAGCCTATGTTAAAATCTGTTTGTTACTGGGGGAGTTTGTTAGCTCATGTGTAACTCATCTGTTGGTGGCAGCAGCAGCATTTGCTTGCTTACCGTTATATAAATGGCAATAAAATCTACTTACACCAGAACAGAATGCAAAAAGTTAATCAGCAAAATTTGAAGACATGCAGAATTATGCAATTCCTCTTGTTCCCATTGGCCAAATTTGCTCTACTTCCTCACTGCAACACAGAACACTAAGTAAAAGAGTTATCATTTCTATTAATCATTAATGGGTAAGTGAAAACAAATAAGGTTTAGATTGTTACACAGAACTGTGTCTTAAAGATTGCAATTATTACTGTAAGATGGGCCACTATTACCTGCTAAGATATTTGGAAGCGGGAATATATTAGGTTTGCTCTGAATATTTTATAGAGTAGCAATAAATTCTGTGTTAATTCTTGCTCTCTGAGCTGGTAGGTGAGTCTGTTGTCATGTCTATGGTATCATTACACTATGTCCCATAATAAGCATTACTGACCATCCTGTGCACAACTCTGTGCCCATTAATTCTGCAAAATGCCAAGGAAAAGAGATCTATCTTCTGTCTTGTACAGATATGCTTCTACTTGCTCCCCTACATCATGTGACTCCCACTGGGCTTCACATGATGCCCATGTCCTTTCCTCAAGGTGCTGCAAAAGCAACCATTCTGAGAAATGTGGCTGGTGATCCTTAGAAAACAACATGTCCTAATCAGTATGAATCCTATTTAAAGTGGCAGGGATTAGGAATGAAGGATTTAAAGTTCTGCCTTCCCAGGGTAAAAAGAGTAAGCATCAATGCCCTGTTTGTTCTTGTAAACACCCATAGAAGCTTCTTGGCTCCCAGATTTCCAAAGTTTGAGGAACTACAGGCTGAAACAGGAGCTACCAGAAAGCTGTTTGGAGTTAAGTCCTTTAGAAGTACCTGCCATATATTCTAAAAGTGCATGAATTGGTTGGTCTCTAGTTACTCAAAGGTTCTAATCCTTCACACTTTGGTTTAGAGAATTGTCTGAACTGAGCCGTGGCTCTTCACTGCCCATGCACATCCAGACAGAACCCCCCCCCCCCCGGGTAAAAATGTGACACTGTGCACTACATTGGGCTGGTCAAATACAACAGTCAGGCTGGATCTGCTCTTGCAGGAGTGCAGGATAATTTGGGGCAAAATTTAAAAATCTAAATGCACACATTCCCATGGATTTTCTACCCCGTAAGTTCCATAGAAATGAGAATGTCCTGTTCAGTTCAATGGGTCTTGCACAGAGGACTTTTTGGTAGATTTTCCTTAAATATTTTGCTCTTCATTTGTTCCCCAAGGACCATAGGAGGCTGCCCTATTCTGAGTCAGACCATGGGTCCTTTTAGCCCAGTACTGTCAACACTGCCTGGCAGCAGCCCTCCAGGGTATCAGACAGGAATTATTCCAGCCTTATGTGGATATGTTGGCAATTGAATATGGAACCTTTTGCATGCAAACTATGTGTTCTAACAGTGAGAAAAGATCCCTTTCCTCCACCAATAGCATTTTTGAAAAGAAGAATCACTTAGAAATTCTGTAAAGAAAATGTTTTATTTAAAGTGTTAAATACCATCACCAGAATGAATTTGATTTACATTAGTTGGTGTACATTAACAGGCCTAGTCTGCCCTTTTCTCCCCCAACTTCAGTTTCCTTTACTTTTAAAACCGACTATGTACAAGATGGCTGTGGTCACTGGAAGAGTGTTATTTACATGACTAAATTATAAGTAGAGTCGCAGACATGTGAGTATTAAAAAAAAATACAATCAAATTTGAAAATAAATACTGCATAATGACCAGGTATATACAGATCTTCCATGTGGTCATGTCCTTCTTGTCTGAATTAAAAATAATCGTATATAGGAGAATGCATAACAGAATGCATTGACTGCACATCACAGTATCCGGAACAATCATATGAAATTATTTTACTCCTGGGGATAATGCATTTTTTCAATATTCATCAATTGCTCATACACAAGGATCAAATTATTTCATTCCACACAGTTTACCAGTCTTCTTTTATTTAATTGATGTGTAACTTTGTATGAAAATCCGTCCTTCCAGTCTCAGTAAGTCCTTATTAGTATAAAGGCTCTGGTACACAAATAGAATTCCCATCAGCAGCAGCTTCCCATTTATTACAACACAGGGAGTAGCGCCACGAGTGTGAAGTTCTAGATCATTGGATGGGTGTAATTCACCAGGCCATTTCGCTTCAGAATCCATATTCATTTCAGGTCTACTCATGCATGGTACACAGGCAAACATAATGGGCTGTGCTCATAGTTCTGAGTGGTGTCTAACTGCACCATATCAAACAAAAGGCATACCTATTGTTCTTTTCACCATTCCATGATTCATTTAAATTGGGGGATAATATTGCAAACCTTTCACACAAAATCAGAATATTTGTGTGCATGGCCTAACTTTAAACATGGTGTATATTAAACTGTTATTGCAATGCTTCCACATTAAGCAATAGGTATGTGTTAAAGGCATCTAAAGACACAGGAAAAAAAGGATGATGCACTTGAACATTAGCAAGTTACATTCCCTTTCATCAGATCTGGACTTACAATACCTCACTTTTCCACGTTACTAAACTACCTGATACAGGAGACAGGTGTTTGGTTGTTTCTTCAAATACCTGTGGCATTACATTTAGGCTCTTGGTGATGGTGTCAAAAGTTAGTAAATTGCATGTACTTTATTTAAGGCGTTTAAAAATCAAAAGGTGCAATCCTGCCATCTCTTAGGGCATTTAAGTACCACTAATTTAAAGATTAAATAGGTGCAGGACTGCAGCCCAAATTGTGACTTTTTAATGTCAGGCTCATATTTACTGATTTGCTATCACAAACATAGTTCATGAAAACCAAACAAAACAGCTTAATGGCTATTTATTATGACCCTGAATGGGTAGCAATTTGTTTCGCTCAATGCAAATGATAAGATGCTGATATTTAGTAAGACTGTTGTCTTGTTATTTCTTCAAGACCATTGAGAAATGATAGCTCAATCTTTGAATGAATGGTGCTGGTGCTGAAAACAAATTTATTGAAGACATTTTACAAATGGCCACATGATTCCAGTATTTTGCTATAGAATTTAATTTGAAGGTGAGAAAAAATAAGTTTCCATGCACTGTACAATAAACTGCAAAAAGTTCGATTTCTTTTATCAAATACATGCTGAATTACTGTAATGTACTCCCCAAGCCATGTTGCAAAATTCTTTTCAACATGCTTGAAAAAAGTTCTGAAACAATATTTTTTTCCTCAGAGTTTTCAGAAATGCAGTTATCATCTGCAACTCTGAACCAAATATGGAACATGAGAGTATTAACTCAAAAATTAGCCATTTCTGTGTATAATGATCATCCTGGGAGGTAGGAAGGGAATGAAAGAGCAAAAGGAGGGAGGAGTAGACAAGAAGGGAAAAGAAGTGTACAATTTGCACATATTGTTGAACTTTACAAGGCTTGTACCTTTTACATTTAAATAAATTTAATATATTACATTTATTTCTTGTCACATAAACATAATTTTAATATTTGCTAGAAATTATTTTTTTCATTTCTGTCTGCAAAAACACAGACCATGATTGATTTAAAGAATGATAAACTTGGTGTGTCTTATCACCCTGTTGCATTCTTTCCCTTTTAAAACCATGCACTAGTGAAATTTATTTTTAAAAATAATATAAACTGTTGAAAATGGCTGATTTATTCTTTTTTTGCAAGTTGCAGCCCCAAGAAAATAATTTTAAGTGTTCAGCATAATCTGTGTCCATGCAAAAAGTGTCTTTAATTTCATACAGTACAGTATAGCCACAGCATTTTATTTTTCAGAGTCCACACAATGGGTTTGACTCTAGCAGTAGCTGGAGTTACGAAGCCTGACACTGTAAGTCTTCAACCTTTCTGATTAGGCATGTCTCCTCTGCTGCTAATAAGTGCAGTGATAGTTGGCTTTCCTTTAATGACCCTCTTTTCTTCCTTCCTCCCAGATGACTTGTGGCATGGCTTCTTTGGGTAGCTCCATATTTCTGTGGCATAACCAGGTTTGGGGAGGCTGGGGGCGGGCAGGAAGGGGCAGATAAAGAAAAGGGAAAAAGAAAATAGATGTGCCATTGAAAGGGACTCTTGTTGCATGAGACAGCTTGATTCTTTAGTTTAATCCATGGCTTCAGATTGGACTAAAAGTCGAGTGTCACTGAACTCCAAAGCTTTCAGTTCTTTCCAGCTTCACTCCTTCACCTGAGGACTTCCTTTAGAGCACAATGTGTGCAACTTCCTCTGAGAACACAGGATCGCTTTATAGCCCTAGAAACAGGCTCTGAAGACACAACATTAAGCATGCAGTGTTACCAGGGTTTGCGACCTGTTAATTTTTTTTTTTGTAACGCTGGTTGCCATGACAACAGTTTCACAGCTGCTATGAGCGAGCATAAGAAGGTCCCGTTGAACTTTCAAGAGATGACTGGGAAGCCCTTCTTGTAAGGGGGGCCAAAGTTGGATCTACTAGGGAGGATGGGGGGAAAAGTTTGAACCAGCCAATCACCATATTGGACAGGTCCAGTTCATCTAAAAGTATCTGTGCTACTCCCATAAAGGATTTGTGATCCATGCGTCCATAGTCTCCCCATACAATAATCTGTTGGATTAAAAAGAAACAGATTTTAAGGAATAAGAAATGGAGCCAGTTATTCAGGCTTAATTAACAAGATAATCCAGAATTATTTAAAACCAAGGGCAGTATCAGAGCATCATCCTCTCCAAATAAACTGACAAGTGAAGTTTTCACTCAACATAACCAATGGACTATGGGTTGGGTTCCAAATCACTATCTCACATACACATGCATCCTTGTCGAACTGCTTTTATGAGCATTTTGAGACTTGCTTAGTTTCATGTGACCAAACTGGATCAGAGGCTACTGAATAGTTCATTGACTTTTGTAGAATCAAGTCCAATCTGTAGTGGGAAAAGTCTCAGATGGATTACTTTGCATCTTACCTCAAACATACAGGTTGAGATTTAAATTACATCCAACATCTTCATTTTAACGTTTAAAATGTTTAACCTGATTATATGAATGATTACTTGGAAGTAAGTCCTATTAAACTAAGCATGCCTTGGGTTTTCTTCTGTTATGCTGTCCCTGACTTTTAATCTGCAGATTTGGATTTGCATTATCTGCTGCAGCTTCCAAGAGATTTGTTTCAGGATGATGGCTAATTGTTTCTATATAAAATGCTTTATTGTTCTTTTAATTTTTGTGTGCTTGGGACGGACTATAATAAAGAGAAATTTAATATAAGCATATACAGGTTTGTAGTCTTCATTTTTTACCCTTTCTAGAGAACAGTTCAGGAGCATACAGTACTTAGAAAATCTACTCTGATTTAAAAAAGAAATTATCTGCCTACCATGCAGGGAGTGAGGGTACTGCCCTTCTTCCCCTTACCTAGGTCAAAATATCTGGAGGGCCGCAAGTTGCCCATCCCTGTCCTAAAGGATCAACTTTGCAGTTTGGGGCAGTCCATGGATCCAGCTTCATCACTGGAGGCATCTGTTATATAGAGAAGGAATATCTCCTTCTACGTATACATGCCCAGACCCTAAAATCATTTTGAGAGGGCCCTATGAGGGTGCAGCTGGACACCCATTTAATTAGGATAACTGAGAGGATAAGCCACTACCATGCCATAAAACAGCATAAAGGGGAAGTTAGTTGTAGGCAATGATACTAAATGGAAAGCGTTTTTGATATACATGGCTGTGAGTGCAATTACCTGTAAAACTTTTCCTTGGGGACTCTCTTCAAATGATAACAGCTGCTGATAAAGAGGTTCCAGCGTTTTTCTTGCCACCTTTGTTTTCTTTTTGGCTATGCAGACTCCATTTTCTAATAGGTACACCTTTACATATGGTGCTTTGAAGATGAAATCATAAAAATTGGTTAAGAGGCTACTTTTCCACATTACTACACCACATGTAAAATCTTAATATTTAGCTGATAAACATTTTAGTTAACTATATCTTGATACATTGCATCTATGAGCACATATTCCAATGGAGACATGTTTGCCTTCTGGAAGGCCAACATTCTCTTTTCTTTCTTGCTTCCCCTTCCCGTAATACCTTTAAGTACTTTCTGAATTGCATTTTGTTTTCAACAAATGTTGACACTATTGCTTCATGGTAAAACATATGAACACATCTCAGTCTTAATTTTATCCTATTTTGATATGATTTCCAGTACAGGGCAAGGTTCTGGATCCCAAGAATGGCAAAACCTTCCATAGTTAAGTCCACCAATCAAGTGTGTTGGTTTATAGCATTAACTATGTGGTTAAACTACTTCAGTGATTTTATCAATATCATATACCTCACAATAGGAGACGTTGGCAAATTAATCCAAAAATTTGACAGTCAAAATTGTGCAGGAGAGTTCATAAAAAGAGAACCCTAACCCTAAATGTAACCTGTAAGGCAAACCATTGGTTATTATGGCTCAAACAAAAATGGTTTAATGAGGCACACTTCATATTCTGTCACAGTATTATCAATTACATATGTTTCCTTTTTACCTGGCAGTGTCTTTGAACCTGGTTTTACAACAAGGCCTCGAGCTCGTATTATTTCCACCTCTAACTGTCCCTTTTTGTCCATCATTCCAACCTGAATATCACCTGAGAAAGAAAAGAAACGCAATTACTGCAATAAAAATACCAGTATTTGTATAAAAATAATGTTTATAATAGAATATGACTTTTTCTTTTTCCCCAATATTACATCAACACACTTTAAAGAGTTAGTTTTTACCTCACTGTCAAACTCATGTAGACATATAGTTTGCTAATGAAAGAATTATGTATGGTATACACCTGGAATCTCATCTTGTCTCTATCTTCAGCACATGTACAATATCCTCAGGTATGGAACTGACCAGCAAATTTTAAATCCATATTATAAAGAATTCATAGCATTGGATATATTTGTCTAAAGATTTACTGAGCTTCTATTTCCCTCACGGGGCTTCCTGTGTCTCAAGGAAGGCGCTGGGTGATCGAGACAGACTGGGGATTCTGCTGGTGTACCATGCACCCTTCTGCCCATCAGACTCCCTGCCTGAGCTGACGGAGATCGTCTCGGACCTGGTGTTGAAGACCCCCAGGATGTTGATCCTGGGGGACTTCAATCTCCATGCCGAGACTGTTCTGACAGTCCATGACGACCATGGGGCTATCTCAACATGTCATAGGCCCAACCCATGAACGTGGTCACACGCTGGACCTGGTTTTCTTGACGGGGCTGGAAGAGGGTGATTTGAGGTTGAGGAATGTGTGTCTGACTCCCTTGTCATGGTCAGATCACTTCCTCATGAGGTTTGAGCTCAGAGCTGGCCTTTCCCTCTGTAAGGGTGCGGACCCAGTTGTGATGGTCTGCCCTTGGAGCTGGATGGATCTGGATGGATTCCTGAAGGCTCTGGGGGATTTTCCGGTTGATAAAGCTGGCGCTCCTGTTGATGCTCTGGTTGAACTGTGGAATGGGGAAATGGCCAGAGCAATTGACATGATCTCCCCTAAGTGTCCTCTCCTGCCAAGCAGAGCCCGTCAATCCCCATGGCATACGTCTGAATTATGGGTGATGAAGCAGGTTGGGAGATGTCTAGAGCATAGGTGGAGGAAATCACACGATGAATCTGACCGAACATGCCTACGTGCTCATTATCAAGCCTATGCTGTGGCAGTGAGGGTGGCAAAGAAGAAGAAATTCTTCTCCACTTCCATTGCCTCCTCACAGTGCCGTCCAACGGAGCTTTTTCGAGTGGTACATGGGCTGATATACCCCGGCCCTAAGAAAGATCCTGTACCACCGATGACCTGCTGTGGTGACTTTGCCCAGCACTTTAAGGAGAAAATTACTCAGACTCATCATGAGCTGGACTCCACAAGTGATTCAGATACTTTAGGGGAGATGTCAATGACTCCATCTGGTCAGATATTAATGGATGAATTTCAGTTACTGCATCCCGATGATGTGGACAAGGTGCTTGGACAAGTACGTCCTACCACCTGCTTACTTGACCCTTGCCCTTTGTGGCTGCTGATCAAATTGGTGTCTGGATCCTGGAGGTTATCAACAGCCAGGTGCCCGCTCCTTTAAAGGAGGAGGTAATCAGGCCTGTCCTAAAGAAGGTGTCTCTGGATCCAGAGATGGCCACCAATTATACACCAGTGGCCAACATCCCATTAGAACAGTGTTAGAACGGGTGGTGGCAGGACAACTCCAAGCACTCTTGGATGAAACTGATTATCTGGACCCATTTCAGCCCGGCTTCAGACCCATGTACGGTACTGAAACAGCCTTGGTTGCCATGTATGATGACCTGTGCAGGGAGAGAGACAGGGGGAGTGCATCCCTGTTGGTTCTCCTGGACCTCTCAGCAGCTTTCGATACCATTGACCATCCTCCTGGATAGGCTGGCAGGACTGGGAGTAGGAGGCATTGCTTGGCAGTGGTTCCGCTCCTACCTTGACGGCCAATTCCAGAAGGTGGTGCTGGAAGACTTTGGCTCTGCGCCATGGCAACTTTGCCATGGAGTACCTCAAGGTTCCATTTTGCCCCCCTTGCTATTTAGTATCTATGTGAAACCGCTGGGAGAGATCATCAGGAGGTTTGGGCTGCAGAGTCATCAGTATGCTGATGACACCCAGCTCTACCTCTCTTTTTCAATTAATCCAGGTGAGACAGTGGCTGTACTGAACCAGTGCCTGGCCAAGGTAATGGGCTAGATGAGGGCCAATAAACTGAAACTCAATCCAGATAAGACGGAGGTTCTGTTGGTGGGTGATTTGAGCTCCTGGGTAGGCGACTTGGGCCTTGCCCTGGACGGGGCTGCACTCCCTCTAAAGGACAGGGTCCGCAGCTTGGGAGTGCTCCTCGACCCGGATCTGTCCTTGGAAGCTCAAGTGACAGCAGTGGCAAGGAGTGCTTTCCTTCAGCTTCGGCTAATCCATCAGCTACGTCCCTACCTGGAGGAAGATTGCCTAGCAACAGTAACACACGCATTGGTTACTTCCTGGTTGGATTTCTGTAACACGCTTTATGTGGGGCTGCCCTTGAAGACAGTCTGGATACCTCAGATGGTGCAAAACAGAGCTGCCAGGATGCTGTCAGGGACTGGGAGTTATTCTCATATAACCCCAGTCCTCTATCAGCTCCACTGACTTCCCATCGAAGTCCGGGCTCAATTCAAGGTACTGGTTATTACCTATAAAGCCCTAAACGGATTAGGACCAAGATACCTAAAGGAACGCCTTCTTCCCTATTTGCCCTCCCGCCCTCTGAGATCAACAGCAGAAGCCCTTCCCTGGGAACCCTCTGTGAAAGGTATTAGGAGGCAAAGTACCCGGAGGAGGGCTTTCTCTGCAGTGGCGCCCCGTCTATGGAATGCGCTCCCCAGAGAGGTCCACCTGGCGCTGTCATTATATATTTTTCTGCTCCAAGTTAAGACCTTTTTATTTAATCAATATTTTAATAAGTTTTAATATTGAATTTTACCATCATATTTTAATTGCAGTCAGAGTGGGTTGTTAATTTATGTTATGTTAGATATGTGTATTTTATTGTATTGTATTTGTGTAAGGCTCTTGCAAAAGACGGCATACAAATATCCTAAATAAATAAATAAAATAAAGTCAAACCTAATTGTCAGACTAATCGTAATTGTTCTTCCTTTTACTTAATTATACATCAATATTCTTGAACAGTCACATACCTAAAGCTACTGGACCTCACAAAATCTTTACGGAGCCTTTCAAATTTAATGTATCCTGCAGTGACATTAATGGCAATCCCTGTGTTATGTATAAGGTGGGTTCATTATCCATTATGAATACTAGCAGTCACTATTATGTATGTATGTAAAAAAATTCTATACTATCTATATTTCCATGGAAAACCTCTAGACAGTTTACAATGTGCTTTTCACAACAAGAGAGAAGTGCTTCTTTGAACCATAAGAAGATGAAAAGGAAAGGAAGTTAAAGTTTTCATGCTTAAATTGAAATAAATCACAATAGAGGCATATGAAAAGTTGAAAACCAAAACAGGATGAGGAAAGCTGGAAATCAGAATAGGGTCAGAAAAACAAAATCTTCCATCCAAGGGTATATTTCCAGAACTTGTCAGTAGGCATGGCTGTACTGAGTTTTTCTGTGGCTGATAGAACCTAATTTCTCTATTAAAACTTTACCTAAGCCTGGCTTAATCCAACAAGTCTGAAGAAAGTAAAACTGCTACGAATTCAAATGGCCAAGTTACTTACCCATTGCTGGAGTAGCCAGGGTTTGGCGCCCAACAAGCTGTGCAGGACCAAGTCCATCCAGAAAATCACTGAACTGGCTGTCTGCAGCCAACCGCACACCAGGAAAGATCAAACTGGCGGAAAACAAGTTTTCCTTTAATCACATGTTTTAAAAGGAAAACTACATGGACTGTATTATGAACATAGCCACAATATTGTTTTCATCAACATATAATTATCTAATATGGGCAGAAAGAAATTATTCTTCTGTCTCTCCTTCAAGTGCCATTTCTTGACAGATATTCAAAGAGAATAATGTTGGTGTGTGGAGGCAGAAGACTCTGGGCAGCATCTGGTATGTTGCTGCTAATGTAAATGACACTATTATGCAGAAAACTATTGCTAGTGCATTACAAACAACATTGACTGGCACAATGCATTTCTCTGGAAAACCATCACCCCAGCAGATGTTCTTGGCTTTCTACTGTGTTCTGACATGGACCTAGGCATGTTTATTGGACTCTCTAGAAAAAAAGCCTCATGCATTTTGAGCTGTGGTCAAAGCTTTGACGATGTTATCTTCCCAAATCAGCTTCCTGTATGACTTTACATATCTGAAATGGAATTTGGTTAAGATACAATGTGCGTTCCTTCCTCAAAATTCTGCTAATCATCTGCCAATCTTTGATTGTGAGCCGTTGTTTTATATATTATATGTTTTTCAAAAATACTGGAAACTGTTACTTCTTCCCACAATGTAGCACTTTGAGTAAAGCTGCCAGTCTTAATTTGAACCACCAAAAGTTCCTTTCAGTTTTCTTACACAAATCTGTATCTTTCCAGGGGACTAGGTCAGGCAGCCTAAGTACACAAGACTGCAAAAAAAAAAAAAAAAAAACAACCACTTTTCCTTCTCCAATGTATTCTGAACTAATATAAAAACTGTAATGTCAGCACTCTGCAGATACCCTCATTTATTTTTGCATCCTAAAATACTCATTATATTGTCTGACTAGGCAAACTGCATTACAATGTATCAAACTTAAAAGGATTTAGCATAAAGCATTTAAAAACATATTCTAATAAAGAAAAACTACATATTTGCAGACCAATATCCTTTTGCTGTGGATGTACTCTTGAAAAAGAATGTCAAAGCTCTGGGTAATTATGAAATACTTGGCTGAAGACTGAAGGCAGGATCCAGAGAAACACACACAGATATTCTGACTTTTCCTTCCCTCTGCAGTTCCATTATCTCCAAATAGCTGTTCCTTAGAGTTAATCCCACATCTTACACCGACTCCCGCCACCACCTTGTCCAAGTAGAACTGCCTTCTGAGTTCTCTGGATCCTGCCCTAGAAAAGCAAGCAAATATTTGATAGAAATCTGTTCCACTGTATTAATTCTTGATTATGGGAGGTGAAAGGTTAGTATGATGCCCATAACAGGAGTGTTTGCATGCACTGCAAATTTCTTGTGAGAATTTTAAGAAACCACCGATACCCCATATCCTACTGTAATTCATGAAAGTTATGGAATCACAAATGGAAATAAGCTCCACCAAAACCAATGAGATCTACTTTAAAAATCAATATGCTTATTATTACAATGCACTACAACTGGAATGTTGATAAGCCCCTGAACTCAGAGGACTGTGGCCATGCTTTCCAAGTGGAGCTTCCCCTCCTCACTCCCCACCCCCACTAGCCAGTTGGCCAGTTCTGGCCATGTAGCTGTGGTGCTTCAGAGAAAGAGGAAGGAACACTGGGGTGCCTTGAATCCTGACAGCCACAGTCTCCACCCCACCCTGACCCCCAGAATCCCCCTTGATCCCTTCTCCAGGATTGTTCGCATGACCTCTGAGAAGCAGCTAGCACTGTTCTTTCTGTGCAGGTTACTGTGGGGAATCTCAGAATCTGAATAATTATTTGGCCTGCTTCAGCTGTCTAGATGCCAAAAAGAGGTTATGGCTGTAATTCTGTGCATGCCTACCTAAGAATAGGTCCCACATTTGTAAGCACACAGGTGTTTGTACTGTAAAAGTCACCAACCCATTTACCACCAATTTATTATTCTATGAGTAGTTATATAATGTTTAAGAAAAAATGTGCTTTGCAAATTTCTATAGAACATATAGTTTGGATTTTAATTATTAGAGTCTTACTGCTTGAAAGTAATATAGCCCAAACCTTGCTATGTAACAAGAAACTCCCATGGAATTACTTTAGCTGTTACTTCTTATGAAACTCCTTTGTCCTCTGTATAAACAGCACACATATATATTCACTGTGTATTTCCAACTGGGATTACAGCAAATATATGTTCCCTACAGGAACAGAAGGTCCACCACATCAAACTCCAGAATGACAAATATCTGATGAAAGAAAAAGTAATCAACAAGCCTTTATTTCTTTTTTATTGAATGTTAGGATCAGAACTTTGCAACGAACACCTGAGACTTACTTCCCCTCGGAGCTGTAACTGTTCATACTGCCATCTGTGGATTCCCGGCTGGCTTGACGCGTCATCCAGTTTCTCATCTCCACTGCCAACCCTGTTTCTGTGCTTCTCTGGACTGTGCTCTTTAATTTTTTGCCACCTGCCTCTAAAGAAATATAGCAAAATGCTTAGTTGCATCCAGTTACTGAAACAAACAGAAATACCTAAAGAAGAATATAATCAAATCAGTCTATACCATGTCTGGTTTTTAAAAACCAATGATGTACATTTGTGCAAATAAGTACATCATACATACTATAGGACCCCTTGTATCTGCATAGGTAAGGTTCCAAGGTTTAATTAATAAATGAGGCACAATAAGACATTAACAACAGTAACTAATAATAAACCAGAACAATTTTAATACTGAAAGTTATTTTATTTTATTTTATTTTATTTTATTTTATTTTATTTAGGATTTTTCTAGGCCCTCCAATCACTTTTATGTGAATGTACTCTCCCCCCCCCCCTTCAAATATTCACTGTACTGTACTCCCCCTCAACCGAGACAGCTACTGAGTGACTAATGGCTGGGTGGCATGTACAGCGTGGATATGCTGGACAAAGGGCTGATTAATGTCCTGTGCAGGTCTGCACAAGATTTCATCATGTTACTCAAAATGACACACAGTTTAAATTATGAGCGTTTACTGTATTTCTGGAATTTTCTGTTTAATTTTTTTAGGACTGTGGTCAACCGCAATTAAGTGAAACTGCAATAACTGAAACAGAATTATTTGGGTTTTATTGCACTTAAAATATACTAATTCTATAACTGATTGTTCTTAAACAGCATTGTGGCATTATATTTCTAAATCTCTGATCTGTCTAAATATGTTAAATTCATACAGTCAACCATATTCATACTGTGTGCATTAAAGTTACTTTGCAAATATAAAGAAACATCATTGTTAAACTGAAACCTATCATGGCAGATATTATCATAACCATCATATTTGGTTTTTATTTATCTTATGCTAATTACATAGTGTGATTACTATCTTATGGTTTAACTTGTGGTTATAAATTGTTTTTGGCATGACAGGTCAGATTTTACTTTCATATATGTTTTAGTAATTAAAGGAATCATTCTTTATCTAGTCATTTGAAGCTTCAAAATTACAGGAAAAAGGACATACAGTGTCTTGTAGAAATATCCACCTTTGATTTTTCCTTATTTTGATTGTGTTACAAACTGGAATTGAAGTGGATTTGCTCAGGCATAATTGCTTATTGCCTATTTCTACTATTTCAAGGAATGTTTGAAGCCAGAAGCAATCACATTAAAGTGAAATTTATCATGGTCATTAAAGGTATACTGACATTTGCAAGGATGGAAATACTAATTTATATTTCCTAGTGCAGATCTCAATTTTTAATACTTTCATATTATCTGCTGATGATAAAGAAGACCACTCAATCAATCAATCAATCAATCAAGCGCTCTCTCTCTCTCTCTCTCACACACACACACACTCCTCATATACATCAGCATGACAGTTTCTAAATGTTAAAAAACCTCTGTTATTAGGGTCATTTTGTACCAGTTTTTAGAGTGGTGGGAATATATTTAAATATATTCTATGAAACAGTTTGACATTATATTCTCAAACCAAGTACTGGCAATTATATCACAATTATAGAAGGAACAAAAGAAAAAATAAATGCTAAAATAATTGAAAGATACAGTAGTTTTGCTCAGAAGACTCGTAAGTAGAATTTTGGTGCCCTCCAGGTATTTTGGCCCACAACTGCTTATGGTTTTAACCTATCCTGGGAGCCAAATGGTTAGTAGGGCAGCTTAGAAATCAATCAAAGTGCTGCACTTTCTGACTATTAGCCATGCTAGCTCAGGCTGATAGGAATTACAGTTCAAAACATACCAGATCACCTAACCTAGGACAGGGCTTTTCTACTTCCTCCTTTACTGTTCAGGTCCTTCATTGTATCTAAACTGCTGCTAGTTGGGAAAAGCTATGGGATGTGGCATGAGGGCAATGAACAAAGGAATTAGTAGAAAAGTGAGATATGTGGGTGGAAATACCTTCTCCTTGTGCAAGCAGCTATTTGGACACTATAGGATTAGTTTCTCCTTCATGGATCACTGCCTTGTCATGGCGAAGGGGCTTGCATAGTTCAATGAGGCTATGAGCTAAGCCATGCAGGGCCACCCAAGACAGACAGGTCATAGCAGAGAGCTCTGACAAAACGTGATCCACTGGAGAAGGAAATGGCAACCCATTCCAGTATCTTTGTCATGAAAACCCCATGGACAGTACCAAAAGGCAAAAAGATATGATGCCGGAAGATGAGCCCTCAGATCAGAAGGTGTCCAATATGCTACTGGGGAAGAGCAGAGGGCTAGTACTAGTCGCGCCAGAAAGAACGAAGCGACTGGGTCAAAGCCAAAAGGACACTCAGTTGCCAATGTATCTGGTGGTGAAAGGAAAGTCTGATCCTGCAAAGATCTATACTCCATAGGAACCTGGAATGTAAGATCCATGAATCAAGGCAAGCTGGATGTGGTCAAACAAGAGATGACAAGACTGAACATTGACATCTTAGGAATCAGTGAACTAAAATGGACAGGAATGGGTGAATTTAATTCAGATGACCATCAGGTATACTACTGCGGGCAAGAATCCCTCAGAAGAAATGGAGTAGCCTTCATAGACAATAAAAGAGTAGGAAAAGCAGTACTGGGATACAATCTCCAAAATGACAGAACAATCTCAATTCGAATCCAAGGAAAACCATTCAACATCACAATAGTCCAAGTCTATGCCCCAACCACTGGTGCTGAAGAGGCTGAAGTTCTATGAAGGCCTACAACACCTTCTAGAATTAACACCAAAAAAATGATGTCCTTATCATCATGGGGAATTGGAATGCTAAAGTAGGAAGCCAAAAGATAACTGGAATAATAGGCAAGTTTGACCTTGGAATACAAAATGATGCAGGGCACAGGCTGGTAGAATTTTGTCAAGAGAATACGATGGTCATAGCAAACACTCTTTTCCACCAACCCAAGAGACGACTCTACACATGGACATCACCAGATGGTCAACACAGAAATCAGATTGACTATGTGTTCTGCCGCCAAAGATGGAGAAGCTCTATACAGTCAGTAAAAACTAGACCAGGATCTGACTGTGGCTCAGATCATGAGCTTCTCATTGCAAAATTTAGGCTTAAATTGTAGCAAGTAGGGAAAAACACTAGGCCACTCAGGTATGACCTAAAAAATATCCCTGATGAATATACAGTAGAGGTGACAAATAGATTTAAGGAATTAGATCTGATAGACAGAGTACCTGAAGAACTATGGACGGAGGTTCGCAACATTGTAGAAGAGGTAGCAACTAAAACCATCCCAAAGAAAAAGAAATGCAAGAAAGCAAAATGGCTGTCTGAGGAAGCTTTACAAATAGCTGAGGAAAGAAGGGAAGCAAAAGGCAAGGGAGAAAGAGAAAGATACACCCAATTGCATGCAGAATTCCAGAGAATAGCTAGAAGAGATAAGAATGCTTTCTTAAATGAACAGTGCAAAGAAATAGAAGAAAACAATAGAACAGGGAGGACCAGAGATCTCTTCAAGAAAACTGAAGATATGAAGGGAACATTTCATGTAAAGATGGGCATGATAAAGGACCAAAATGGCAGAGACCTAACAGAGGCAGAAAAGATTAAGAAGAGGTGGCAAGATTACACAGAGGAACTATACAAGAAAGTGTTTAACGTCCCTCATAACCATGATGGGGTGGTCACTGACCTCAAGCCAGAAGCAACAGTGAGAACTGGACACAGAACCACTGACTGGTTCAAAATTGAAAAAGGAGTTCAGCAAGGCTGTATACTGTCACCTTGCCTATTTAACTTATATACAGAGCACATCATGAAAAAAGCGGGGCTAGATGAATCATCAGTTCGAATTAAGATTGCTGGGAGAAATATCAACAACCTCAGATATGCAGATGATACCACTCTTATAGCAGAAAGAGGAACTAAAGAGCCTCTTGATGCAGTTGAAGGAGGAGAGTGCAAACATTGGCTTGAAACTCAACATTAAGAAAACTAAGATCATGGCATCCAGTCCTCTCACTTCCTGGCAAATAGATGGGGAAGAAGTGGAGGTAGTGACAGATTTTATTTTCCTGGGCTCCCAGGTCACTGCAGAAGGGGACTGCAGCCAAGAAATTAAAAGATGCTTGCTCCTGGGGAAGAAACCTATGGCAAATCTAGATAGCATACTAAAAAGCAGAGACATCACCCTGCCAACAAAAGTGCGTATAGTCAAGGCTATGTTTTTCCCAGTTGCAATGTATGGCTGTGAAAGCTGGACCATAAGGAAGGCTGAGCGCCAAAGGATTGGACTGCAAGGCGATCAAACTGGTCAGTCCTAGAGGAGATCAACCCTGACTGCTCTTTAGAAGGCCAGATACTGAAGATGAAACTCAAATACTTTGGTCACCTAATGAGAAGGAAGGACTCCCTGGAGAAGAGCCTAATGTTGGGAACAATAGATGGCAAAAGAGAAAGAGGACGGCAGAGGATGAGGTGGCTAGATGGAGTCACTGAAGCAGTTGGTGTGAGCTTAAGTGGACTCTGGGGGATGGTGGAGGGCAGGAAGGCCTGGAGGAATGTTGTCCATGGGGTCACGATGGGTTGGACATGACTTCATGACTAACAACAACAACAACAAGGATTAGTTTTCCAAACTCTATCCAGGCTAAGACCTTTTTATTTAAGCAACATTTTAAATGCTAAATACAATTGAATTTTATCTGGCCAGGGCGGCTTATTTTATAATGTGTGTTTTAATTAAGATTATTTTATATGGATATTTTAACTTATTGTTTTATCTATGTTGTAAACCGCCCCGAGGCTTCGGCGAATGGGGCGGCATAAAAATGTTTTAATAAATAAATAAAAATAAATCCTGAAACTTTACAAGTTGTCAATTCTACATTTTGATAATGCGAAGTCAAAATATGTAAGGTTGCTACATTTTTCAGCCCAAAGTCTTGTAAAAATATTTTATTATATTTAGTATGACATAACATCACCACACATTACATAAAATCATATTATATTATAAATAAGACT